TCTTTCCCTCTGGCCCTCAGCCAGACCTGTCTTAAAATGCCGGAACTTGTCGGAAGATCAGATACCATCTGCTCACCTGATTCTTATGAGGTCAACCTCTAAATTAGGAAGATTATCAGGAGCCAGAATAAGTGTTGGCATCAGTGTTTTCCCAATGCTTTTGGAAATATATGGTTAAAGATTTTAAAATGCAGAGATGGATAATGCATTTTTCTGCATTAGCAAAGATCCTTGCAATCACAATAATTCTAACTTCAGCAAAAAAGAAAACAAACAAAAAAAACTGGTTTGTCTGGGTTCTCCCCGCCACCCTCCAGCAGGTAAAAGGCAGGGGATCTGGATTTTGGCTCCTTGGGTGATCTTTCGGAAGGTATTAAATTAAATTCATGTGTCCAGTGCATATGCTCAGAGGCAAGTCAGGGTCGAGCAAGCAGGGACTCCAGGAGGAGGACTTTCGGTAGTTCTAGGACCTTTTCCAGGGTGTGGCCAAATCAGGACATTTGTTCTGTGCTTTGGGGGTGGAGCATGGACTGAACAGGTGGCCTTGCCTACTTTGGGGAGTTGAGGGTGGCAGCATGGGAAGGATAGCAGGCTTCCCTCGTGCTAGGGCTTCCCAGAGGCCGTGTACGTGATCAGCAGTAACAGTGTCAGACATCGACCCACACATACCCACATATTGGAAGCGTCCACATCTACTTTTTTTTTTTTTTTTTTTTTTTGCGGTACGCGGGCCTCCCACTGCTGCGGCCTCTCCCATTGCGGAGCACAGGCTCCGGACGCGCAGGCTCAGCGGCCATGGCTCACGGGCCCAGCCGCCCCGCGGCACGTGGGATCCTCCCGGACCGGGGCACGAACCCGCGTCCCCTGCATCAGCAGGCAGCTCCCAACCACTGCACCACCAGGGAAGCCCCACATCAACTTTTTATGCTTTCACTTCTTTTTTTCTCAAACCAGGGCCTTTCCTAGACTTCTCTCTCTAATTAGGGAAAGGATGGAGCCTGCATGTCATGTCCCAGGGAAAGCTGTGTGGGCCATGGAGACACATGTAGTCTATGACTTGTTAACAAGCATCCATGAAGCCATGTTATAAACTCTCACTGCTCTCTTTTTCGTTTTCACCCTGAACTTCACTCATTTTCTCCTGTACTATGTACTTACCACTATTTTCGTCTGTTCGCCTAAGTAGTTCGTAAACATGGTAAGAAACACGATTGTGACTGAGAAGGGAACCTACAGAGAAAAATCACCTTCATGATTCCATCCTTCATCACTTTTTGACAGGATGGGTGAGCTCAGGCTTAAAAGGATGCAAAAGTCTCAGGGATCCCAAGAAGTGGCCAGGGAAACGTTTCCATGGCCTTGTCACCCTGGATGATGATTCCTACCGTGTCTGGTTATAACTAAGTCTGGGGAGACCTTTCCATTACACCACATCTGCTGGCAAAGAAAAGTTTGAAGGAGGGAGCACGTCCTTCCAAGAATGCAGTCAGTGTTTATAGGCCACTCTGTGGTCTGAGGGTAAAAACTCATCATGAAGCACATCCAGTTGAGGGACTTTGGGATGTCTAAATCTTTTCTCTTTCTTTGATTTCAAAGTGCCAAGACCCTCTTAGAATCAACCAATTGTTGTTACTAAGACCTAACAAAAAAATGATTGTAGAATAATGATGCTTAGGACAAATACCCAACTTCCGAAACACGATGATTACAGAATCCAGGCCCAACTGAAATTATATAACTGTACAAGATGCTGCAGGTAATCAGCAGAAGCATCTCCAGTTTAATGAGTTGCCAAGGAGTCGGCAGCTAGCGTATGCATGTGTAACGACCGCTGTTCAGGTACCCTGTGCATGTCTCCCTGTGCTTTTCAGAGAAAACAAAGGTACTGGACTGCTGGATCACCAATGGTTTTTGACTACATGGTAGCCTTGGCAATCAAGAGCAGTGTATTCCAATCTGGAGTAGAATTTCTTGGCAACATACGTTCTGATCCCCCCCTCACTTCCTCCCCACCCCACATACACACTTGTTATATGGCAGAGTCCTCATCGATTGGGTGGGTTGTTTTTACTGCCCTAAATAGGCACAGTGTTTTGTGTAAGTATAAATTGCATGTGGTATGTACCTAGAGCTACCTCTGTTCTTTACCCACCGAGGAGCTGGTGTGAAACCCTTGGCCAGAACTGGCAAAGGAATATGTCTGTCCTGGGCCCATCTCATCCTTGCTGTTTGAGACTGATCTTTGTAAATCTCCATCTCATCCCAGTCTGGGGTGGCCTGAGATCTTTCCCACATCAAAACCCTCATACCAGGGACTTCCCTGGCAGTCCAGTAATTAAGACTCTGCAGTTCCTTTGCAGGGGGCACGGATTCGGTCCCTGGTTGGGGAACTAAGATCCCGCGTGCCACAGGGTGTGGTCAAAAAAAACCCCAAAACAAAAAAACACCTTCATACCAATTGTTGGGACAGCTCAGGTGTCTTCAGTGGCCCAGAAGTCATGATTTCAGGAGAGTTTTCATCAGTTTTGTTTCTCTAGCGTTAGCTATTTATGTTCTTCATAAAGATTTTAGCGGTGCCAGAACTAATGAGAAGCACTCATGTTACATCTCTGCTCTGTAAGTGACTGTTTCTCTGCCTTCTCGGATGGTGGGAAGAAGCATGATAGACCACCCTGACTTTGGCAGGAAGAGGGCAGTTTACTGACTGAGGCCACACGAAGAAATCTCCCTCTGGAAGCTTCGGAGGCCCTGTTTCTTATTCCTTGTGTTGGTCTATCAGACACCCTCCCTGCTGTAGAACCTTAGGGTTTACTATTTAATGATATATTGAGGGGCTGCCCTGTCCTTTTCCTCATGCCCCACTCCTCGCCACCCCCTTATCTCTTAGCAGAAGCCATGGCTCCCCAGCCCCACAAGAGCTGGGACCAGGGACCACTGGGCAAAGGTAACTCCATCACCCACTCACATCTGGCAGGGAGCAGCCTCTCGGGGACCCTGAAATGTAAGCAATAGGAATCACATGCAGAATTCCCCACCTGTGAGTGGCTTTTATTTCTAGCTGCTAAAACTTTCAGAATGCAAAGATGTCCTGGAAATTCTATATGTAGCATAGGATGTACCAGACACGTGTGACCAGTCCACAGAGTCTTACCTGGTCTTAACGGCTTGAGTCTCCATCTCATTTGAATGCAGGAAGTCAGATTTACTGTGATTGCCATTCCACGGATTTCTGGAAATCCTCAGGGAAGCTCAGAAGTTCTGCACATCTGCTCTGGTCATCTGTTGTCCCCTAAACTGTCTCTCTAACCCCACATTGCTGCTCCCTCCTTCCCATGGGCCACTGTTAGCAATCTCCCTCTACCTCCTCAAGCCCCACTTACCCCCAGCTGCTGCTATCTCTGGTCCTGCCTTGTGCTACCTTGGGGCCCAGACCCTTCCCACAGCTCCCCAGAGTGAGAGCAGAGGCTGCAACCTAACTTGAGGAATGCTGGCAGGGCAGCTCAACATGGAGAATAATGGGCAACTTTGGACATGTGGCCACACTCAGAGGCTCTGGCTCCAATCCAGGCCCCTTTCAGAGGGTCCCTACAGGCTGCTTCGTGGCCATCTCCCAAGCCCACCATCATCTCAAAGGGCCATCTTCCTTCCTTGCAGTGAAGGGCCTTCAACCATGTCTGCCCGACCCAGGGCCCAACTCCAGCACACATGAGGCCCCAGGGAGAGACAGTAACCAGAGCCTCACTCCAACCCAGGGCCTGCCTGCCTGCTGACTCCTGACTTCCTGTTCCGTCTCCCCAAAGGGTTGATATAGACAAACCCATTCTCTTAGAGAAACTCCACCCCACCCACTCCC